TCTGTGTTTGCTAGTTGCTAGTAAGTTAGAAATTCTTTACTAACCCGTTATACACCTTATGTTATATAAGATCATATGCTAGTGTTGAGTTTACAGCTTGTTGCACTACTACCAGATGGCCAAAACAATTAAATCATACCAGTTTACATTTGTTGAAAAGCTTGTCTTTATTTTTTTGTTAAAAATTTGAAAAAAGTATTTTCTTTGAGCTGAAAAGGAACTGGCTCATTCACATTAGCAGTGGTAGTAAGAACGGCTAAACATACAAAGAAAGAAGTACTAAAGACAGATGTTCAGCATAAACAGGATTTCTATGTAAAATAATTGGTGCAGTAATGTTGTTCTAGCCTAACTAGCATTACTAAAATACATTAATAAAAACCAAATTGTATTACCAGAAGCTACTGTGGTTATAGTCTCACTAATGTAAGCCCAAATACCACCAAGTAAAAGCAGACAGCCTGAACACTGTTCCAGTGTCCACATCCAAATGTCAAACTCTCTCTGGCTGTCAGAGAAGGAAAGTGACGACTACACAGGCTAAAGCCTCAGTGACAAAAGATTAACAGAGAATGAGGAGGAGGAGAGAAGAATAGAAGGAGGAAAACATTGTGAGAGTGGGAGAGAGCCGATCGATAGAACTCACTGCACAAGCAAACAACTTTGCAAGTCAATACTCGCCACAGACAACTGTCTGTTTGCTCCAGACAAATCCGACATTGACCCACACAGGATGAAATCACTGAGGCCGGAACTACAGCATGTGGAGGAAGAATACATGCATTTCCTGCATGCTCCTTAAAACCAGCTGCAACCAGTTGGGAATGTTCAAAGAATTTCACTGCAGAAAAAGGGACAAAGTTTCAAACTCTGGTTTAAATGATCCTGTTAATGAACTAGTTGGACATATCTTGTGGAAGCCTTTGTTCCTACAGTCCGGTGATGTCTTCCACAGACTGAGTTGTTTTGCTAGGTGCATATCACCCATGAGAATCAGTGGAATGTGAAAAACAAGACTTCTCCTGTTCCTCTTTTCCTGTGTTGCAGAGTCGACTTCTGAACAGAAAAGGTTCTGGAGACATTCAGTGGCCAGAAATGAATTATTTAGTGCTATAGCAGAGCGCTTTTCTGTATCATAAAGCACACTAATGCGCAATATGCTCTAAAGTAGCACTATCTAACTAGATATTTTACGATCTGTCCTGGGACATTTGGTCATTAATACTCTGTCCTTGTGTAGCATAAACACTAAAATGTGACAGCAGCGTTTAAACATTCGAGGAAGCTTCTCCACAGAGCCAACAAGCCTCCAGTCTCAGCTGGCGGAGCCACGTATTCACTTCTTGGTTGTGAGCCAGGGGAGGCTCTGGCTAACGCACAAAAGGCCCAAACAAAGAAGCATCCTAATTACATGTTTTCATCCATACTGTTTTTCTGCTTTAAGAGTTGAATTGTGAGCTACAACTACATCACCAGCAGCTTTTACATTTCACAGGAGGTCTCAGCTTCCCAACTTTAAAATCTGTCAAATTTGCACACAAAGACAAGCTTCAAAAACCCTCAAACGACTGAAGGGAGCAGTTTGAGTTCGGGACTCCTCCACTAACTACACGTTAAACCCTTTTGTTTTACTCTCACAGTGCTTTTTGTTGTTTTCTTTATTGTGCTTTTTACAATCTCAATCAGTTGTTCATGTATAACTGTGCTTGGCATGAGAATAAAGTTTATTTATAAAAATACATATTTAAAGTACACGCTGTTCTCAAAGCCAGAACTGGTCAGATGTGAGTCCTTTGCTGAGGCCGTCTTGTGTTGGTTCACATCTCAGCAGCAACACTCTACATGCTGCATTAGTAGGTGGGTTCCCAACAACCTGACAATCTTTTCTGATATATTGTTTAAAAAAAAAACACACATTTTTCCTCCTCATGTTTCTTGATTAATTGCTTTCTCTGCTCATTGATCATTTCTGGATGGCTACATATTTTTCCAGCACATCTTCCTGCACAATGCTGCTTTACACTTTATCTTGCATCAGTTTAAAATGTTGGTGAATAAGCTTATTGGCTGTAGACCAATACCACTCTAATGTCTCTATGGTACTTATGAAGCTCATGCCAACAGCTTGTTAGCGTAGCACAAAGATAAGTTATCAGGAGAAACAAATAGCGCGGCTCCTTGCAAAGGTAACCATGGCGACATCCACACTGACGCACTTTTGTTTTGGAACTTTTAACTTTTACTACATTTCTGTACCATCCACACTTACTCGTGCTTTAGGAGATCTAAAATGGAGATTTTTGGAAACTAGGTCGAGTCCGGTTCAGTTTGCAGTTTAGTCTGGATGACAGACATCTTTGGAAACGATGGCTAAGACGCCCATGTTCGCTTCCTGATCTGATCAGTCACCTCATGTTCCTCTCTGATTCCTCATGCAATGTCAAGTGGCCCCTTTTCCAGAAGAAACAGAGACATCCACCCTGGTTACCCATGGTTAACTCAACATGCATAATGAATTACAAAAGTTGTGTCAGTCCGAGCAAACAAATCTCCGATCTTACATATGTCCAGTCTACATGAACTGTCATGTGTTCGAGTTTTCAGCCGTGTTAGTATAGACAAAGACTATTTCTGAAATCTGGATGGAGATGGTTTTTAAAAAGCTGTTTCAAGAATTTTCTTTGGGAATAACAAAGTTTAATTTTAACTTATTCTAAAATAAAAAATAATTAGTGTGGATGTTGCAAAAATCTGCCTGGCAGCACCTCTACCTCACTGTGAAAACAAGACGTGGCGACTGAAGCTGGCCAAGAAATATTCCAAACCAAAAACCAATTATGCTCCTTTTTCACACTTCAGCTTTTTCCCAGATTAAATGAACGAGAAAGAACATGTTAATTACTTAGATTTAGAGGTGCTGGACAGATTTTATTACGTTTGGACTGAGCCAAATGTGATAGAAATTTGGTATTTCACATTTTTTCACATTTACCTCTTACATTATTCCTTTTGGTGTTTTAGATATTAGCTGTTGGCTGTTTCATGTGCACAGGAGGCTTTATCTTGTCTCCCTGGCTGATGGAAATGAGAGAGCCCAGTTTCAGGGAGGAAGAAAGGAAGGAAGGCGGACTCACACTAATAATTCTGAGAAGACAGTTTCCCTCGTTAGTGAAAAAAGCTCCAAAAGAAGCTCGAGGCAAAAGACAGGAAGACTTAGCTCCACTTTTTTCTCCTGCTGGGAGGGTAAGAGAGAAACTTCCCCATAAGATTAAATGTGAATATACACCTATTGCTTACACCTATTGCCATATGTGCGCTTTACTTGTATTTTACTTGTTTTTTTTTTTGAGTTGGCTGTAAAGCTATATTTCCGGCATTTCTATTATAATTGGAGCAATTCTTCTAAGGCTTTGGCTCCATCTTTCCAATAATTTGTCACTAATTGCATTATTTCTCAAAGAAACAGCCGTAATCTGTAAAGGGAAAAAACAGAGCCGTTTAAGGATCTTGGACCGAACAATCCAGGCAGTCATTAAAATCCTCTACCAGACAGACCTGAAAACCTCAGAAGTTGGATCGGTGAGGATCAGTAGCAAGGCTCAGAGATATGCAAAAGAATCATGCAAAATGCAAAAAGATCATTTTGTGAATATTTTGACAGATATTTTAATATCTATGATATGAGCCAGGATGTAGAAGGATTTTTTCATCTGGTTTCCAAAGAAAAAATAAAAACACAATGATTTCAGAAAGCATTTTGTGACACATTTTATCTCTATCAAAAAAGTGCACTTGGACATAAGGCAAGTTTGATAATATTTCAATTAACTGTTCATCCCTAATTAGCAGCACTGAATTTCAGCAGCACTGTTCCAACATCTCTGATTCCAAGGCTTACAAGAGTAAAGTAATTTGAGTAAGACACTTTATTGCCTCCATATCTTCCCAGAATTGCTTTGTGATAAAACCCTGCAAAAGAGTCTCTTTATTTTTGCCTCCCTCATCCCTTAGGTCAGAGTGATCCTACAGAACACCGGCCTCCAGTGATTCCTGCACAACAACAAGGTAATACAATGACCGAGGCGTCCCTCTGTGAAGGACTCATGGCCTCTAAAAATGTCACGCGACTAAAGATGAGCTCAGGCAGTCAGCACTTTGAAGCTCTGAGAGGCCTGACATCCTCTCTGCTCCATCACACTCAGAGCTGTCTGCTTGGACGCACACACACGAAGACGCTGCTCTTTCTTTGACACCAGCCATTTTGACTTTCAATTTGGTTTTTGTCCTCTTCTCTGCTACTGCTGCTCTCCATCTTTCTTTTTTTTTTTACTTCTTCAACATCTAACAAAATGAAAAAGCTGGTGTAGATCTATTTTTACCCTTAGGTTGACTGATCCACAGGAAAGAAGTTGGCTTGTAAATCCATGACATCATGATGCGTGTGTGTATGTGTGTGTGTGTGTGTGTGTGTGTGCATGTGTGTTTCCAGTCCAGTGAAACCTCAGCATCAGCACCATTTCACCAGAGCCAAGGGAAACGCACCATTATAATTAGTTGGCTGGAGAACAGGTGATTGAGAGATGGAGGAAGGCAGGAAATGAAGTTAAGTGGTGCGGAGAGCCAGATGAGTCACTTTTACAAAATGTATAATTGCGTGCAGGAGCCGTGCACACAGAAGGGATCATTATATAACACATATCTAGGATTCTAGGTCAGGTGGTGCAGGACATGCAGGGAGTTTAATTAGCATGTTAAATCTGGTTTCAACCTGGTTAATAAATGTCTTTGCGGATGTTCACTCCATAGATATAAACACAGTCCTCCAAAATGTAGTTTCCTACGCCGCTGACAGTTATTAGCTCCCCTGAGCTGGAACATAGAAAGCCTGTCTTCATCTATATGGAAATAGGCTGATACCAGCTCCATCTGGTAACACATGAAACGCATCTTGTAACAACCTTTTAAACGGTTGTTGCATGCTCAGTTGATTGGTTCGTCCTTTAAGTCTTTCAAACTGTTTTAAATATATTAAAGATATCAGGTCTATGAAAAGTATATTAGATTCACGTGTTCAGCTGTTAGCAGACAGAGCTGAAGGTCCTAACGGAGAGATGGAGGTTAATTAGCTGACTTTGAATTGGGTTAATTAGACAAAGACTGAACGGTGAGCCCTCCTGCTGGGCTGTTAGTGAAAGTTAATTAATTCAGAATGCCTCCTATTGAGCCGCAGTTATTAGCTGATTAATCGATTAGTGCAATGACAGAAAATTAATCTTTGGCGCTTTTCAAGCAGAAAATTTCAGGTATTTTAAGGCTTCGGTGTCTCGAGGAGGAGAATGTGTGGATTTTTTCTACACCTCCTTTTGTAAAAGCATTTTTCACAAGGGACAATTAATTGATAATATCAAAAAAAAGTGCAATACTGACAAGTGCAATATCCAAATGAAAGGAGCTGCAGTGTTTTGATGAAGGTAAAATGTGTCACAGCATGAAGCACTGCGGTGCTACAGAGATACATAGTTATCTACCTATAAATCATCCTCTCCAGACACAAGCTTGTCTGGTACAGACTGCAGCAAAAATCACATCAATATTTCTTATAGTTTTTTTTACAGTGGGAAAAAAATGCAGAAATTACAATTCCAGCTGAAACTTCTACTCTGATTGCAATCACAATATCCGTCTAAACGGTAGCAGGATGATATTTTTTTTGCACATTGTTCAGCTGTAGATTAGTTAGATTGATTATTGCACAAAGTATTGTGCAGATTAATCAGTTGTTAAAACATCTGTAACTGGCATTTCTGCACAACTCCTGCATCCTACTGGTTTTAATGTATGCTTATTATTACAATATATAAACCTCAAAATAACAGAAGTGTGAAAGTTTTGGTGATCACATTATACAAGCATAGGTGGATAAACCTGATGTTTTCAGAAAATCATATCTCCAGGCTTTACATCAGTCTAAAATGAGGGGTAAAGACAGTCAGAATAAGAAGTATAGTGACTTAAAGTGCTCTGAAACCGAGCTTTTCCTCATTATTTAGCACTATAGTATAAAAACACTACAGTTTTATACTAAAATAGGTAAAAACATGCATCAGTGAGGAGCTGGAATGAAAACCTGTTTTGCATTGTTGACCTAAATCAATCAGACAGAAGTTTTATTTTTTGTCACTCAACCTGTGCAGTAATAATATAGAATATAAATATAAGAAATATGAAAAACATCCTGTTTACAGCCTCATGTTACTGAGGATAAACCAGACTGAACATTTGCAGCTATGAAAGGCCCTCCTTGGCATGCTGTCAATGCATTGTTGTCAGAGAAGCACAGCCTGCTGATTGGAAACTCCTCAAATGTTCAAGTGACTGCATTAAAAAGAAAAGAAGAAGAAAAAAAACAAGCATAAAGCTGCACATCTCTGCCGTCTCTGGCGGCACAGAGCGGCTTTGTTCGGAGGAGGCCAGCTGACCGGCAGCAGCGCCGGAGGGGATGCTGCGGACAGGGAGGATGGTGTCTGCTCTTACCCTGCTCCAGGTCCTGCTGGTCGTACCACGGCTCTTCCTCTTCGGTTACGAATTCCTCCATTCTCCCTGAGCTGAGCATGGGTGTCCCCCTCCTCCCGGTCGCTGAGAACAATGGAGCTCCGGCGGCAGGATCGTCCTGACGGCGGCTTGAAGCTGGAGCTGCGGCTCCTCTCGACGCTGCTGTGTTGTTGTGGCTCTACGTGTTTCCTCTTTCCTTCCTCGGTCACTCCCTCCTCTGCCTCTCATCGCCCTCCTCCTCCTCCTCCACCACCACCACCACCACCGCCCAGCACCGGCCCATCCCGGAGCTCCGAGCCGCCGCTGCTGCAGAGGAGCCTTCAGACGTGGCGCTGCTCTTCTGCCGCTGATCAGCCGCTCACGATGCCTTCAAGTGCTGCTCGTAACAGACGCTTAGGTCTCCAGTCGTCTCGCTTTCGATCTAGTGCGCCCTCTAGATTGATGTCAAGGGAAATGCCAAGATGATATGACGCTATTAATATAGATCCGTTATTTATGCACCTCTGTACATCTGCTTGAAGCTAACCAGGGAAATATAATGAATCTAACATTTCAGACAGCATCTAAACGCTGCACTACTTCATGTTTAATCCCGACAGGCTTAAAAAAAAATTATGTAGCCAACTATATGCTCCTAAAAATACTACTAGCCCACTACTACCAATAGTAATAATAATAATAATTGGAAGAAGAAGAAGAAGAAGAGGAAGAAGAAGAAAATAACAACAAAACAGCAATAAGGTGCTTTTTTATCTTTACCTAACATGTGTGATCTAACAGATCTTGAATTTCCCCTAGAGGATGAATAAAGTATCTATCTATCTATCTATCTATCTATCTATCTATCTATCAAACAATAATAAAAGTAATAAAAGGTGAAGACATATTAGTGTAATGAAACCCTAAGAAGAACACCAAAGAACACCTTTACCTTCATTTACTTAAGGTTTTGTTGTGATTAGAATGCTAATGATATATCATTAGTAAAAATCTACTGAAATAAGGTCAACCGGGTTAAGATCGGGGTCCACCGGAGCAGACTGGGCCTCAGGGGCAGACTGAGCAAAGAGGCCCTGAAGACAGTCCAGCACATTGTCGCTGGAACGGCGTTCACCGACAGGCACGACCAAGTGGCTGAGCTAGTGTGAAGGAACATCTGTGTCATGTATGGACTAGAAAAAAGAGAGAAACAATAGAGAGGTGACCCAGAATAGAACAGGAGACTCAAGAAACAACTTCTACAGATGTAGAAGGTGAATACTAGGGTGGTCCCAGTGGATATACATTTATGTCGCTCTACATTTTGATGATTGCCAATTAATTAACAGATTGAGGAGAAATCCCAAGTGGAGGGATTGTAACTTTATATTTATCACTTTAAATATTGCTGATGAGGATGCTCATGAGACGAGCAAGGAATTCAAGATAGCCTGGTAGCGCTACTGCAAACTAATGTAGTGTAATGTCATTCGTTTAGCATTCAGTCAGCTCGTTAACCTTTTAGACAAATAATGCTTCATGTGTTTTCCTGCTGGTTAGCTGTTATGTTGTTGTATTCGATGATGGTGCACATAATGAATTTTAACAGTAGCAAGGCTAGAGTGTTCAAAACTGTCGAGTCCATGGAGGGCTTCTTACTCATTACACTTTCAAATATTATGAGAATGGATGAACCTTGTAGCTTGTAAATTTATAACCTTAGAAAGCATTACAACTTAAATGTGCCGGAGAATAGCAGTCGAGTACACTTACATAAAATTAAAAGAAATTATAGTTTTTCTCAGTGGCTCTGGCACATTTCTCAAATCATCCTCGACATTTGCAAAACAGTAAGTGCATTTCTCAAAACAATCTGTACGAACAGCAAAGCACCATGGATTACCTGCAAAAGGCAGTTACTTGCTCAAAATCCTTAGTTCATCTCTCAAAACTAAATATCTGTGTCAATGTCAGTGCCATCAGAATGACAAGTCCTTGTGTCAATGTGTACGGATAAGACAGTCAAACTGTTTAGTCATGGTGTCAATATAACAGTGTACTCTGGAGGGATGTTCTGATGTAAACTATGGCGAAAGTCTTGATGATAATTATTAGAAATTGTGAGTTACATCTTAGTGTATGTGGGAGATTGATTGCAAGAGACTGGACATGATTCACATTTACACTTTTACTGTTTGTACTGTAATTTGATAGACCATGTCACTGCGATACAGAAAGGAAAAGACAGCACTGCATAGCACAAAGAAAAAAACAAAAGTAGAAATGTGAACATAGGACAACCTCCTTAGGGAAAATTGTACATGCAGTGCTGTAGGAATTACAGTGCAGTCTTCCTCTATACTTGCCAGTTGATGGTTCATAAGATGCACCTTTGTGCTATTTCAGAAAACTGGTTGATCATTGGTTGATTTATGTAATGCTACACACATTTCCCTTCATTAGAGAAAGTCAAGATTCACCTGGGAGCAACTTACTAATCAGGAAAGATTTAGAAAAAAAGTCTAATGGAAATGTATAGAAGTGACATCTTGTTCAGCCATTTTGCATGTAAAGACTTATGCGATGAACTAATGTCTAAATGTTGTGGGGGGTGAGACTATTCAACAGAGACCCATAGGAATACATTTTGATCAGCATGACATAAGCAATTGATAATGTAGGAAACAGCAGAGAATTGTACGTAATCATTTGCATGGATGTACCAACACATTTAGAACTTGTTCAATGAAATGAGAAACTGCTTTTTTGATGTGCACAAGTGACACAATAACGTGAAGATTGAACAAGTAGTTTTGAGAATTTCAATTTTGATCTGAGAAATGTACCAAAGTGACTGAGGAAAAACTGTAATATACTTAAAATGTAAACGTACTTGAAAGTGGGGTCTCAATATACAGGATGTACTTCCTTTTTGTTTAGAACAAGACCACAGAGCGTTTCGTACTGAAGTGCTCTGTAGTATATCATATGTTCAGCTGCTTGCTGGGCAGAATATAAGGTCAAGTAACAAACAAAAGAGCAACAACAGCATTTCTTCGTCATCATATATTCACCCTTGCTTCTGTGGGTGTAGAACAATACAATGCAGTTATCTAACAGAGCACACTCATGCTGCTGCCAAGGCCGTGCACTGAACCCAGGCCTGTGGAGCAGAGTTGTCTTTTCACAACTCTGCTCCACAGGCCTGGGTTCAGTCTCTGACAACTGCACTTCAAACTGAGTCTCAGTGAACACAACAGACACTGTCCGTGGGTGGAGAGTCGGTGAGGGAACATGCTGCACTGACTATTGAGTGACTTTTACAGGATTGCTTGCCTGCAGTCTGTGCCAAAAAGTAAATGAAAGAATGTAAACACAATTAAATCAGGCTGTGTAGTCAGCGTATGACCCAGCCTTGGAGTGTACAACACATCTATCTGTAACAGCTGTGATGGGACGGGCGGGAGGAGGTTGTGTATGTCGAGTGGGTTAATGTGATGTTTTTTTAAATCACAGCACTGCAGTTCATCATACAAAATATACACCACAACATTAAAACCAATGTACCTATAACAGTGATCATCTTGGTACAGTCCAGTGTTCTGCTCAGCATCTTTGGGTCCAGGCATTCGTGTGGATGTTATTTTAACACATACCACCTGCCTAAACATTTTTGCAGAACACCACCAGAGGTCCAGTGTTCCTGTTCTGACAAGTCAGAGCTGGTTTGCACAAGAGGGATGTACACGCTATGATAATTAGAAAAGTGTGTTTTCCATTCAGAGCAAGCAAAACTAACAATTCTTCACTGGGATCACTTTAATGCTCTTTTTGTGACTTCAAATTAAATTAATAAATTCATTCTTTTCTTTTCTTTTTTTTTCTTTTTACATTGTTTCTTATTGTGACTACTGCCCTATATTCTTCTTTATAGACCAAATAGTTAATTGAGACTTTTTGATGCTGGTAACATAAATTACTGAAAGGCTCCTTATCTGCTTTTAACACATTATATGATTATTATTTGTTATTCTCTGTGATCTGTGCACATTTTGGTCAGTAATTAATTATTAGTCAGCTGTGTTACACTTTTCTAAGTAAATGCAAATGAAAAGTGGTGTCAGGAATGTTATTGTTTTATGTTCCTACATTTTCCAGCAGTTCCTTGAACCTGCTTTGGAAATAGAGTTTTGCAGCTTTAGGTTCTGAGTTAACTATGTAGTTTAACTCCGACTGCTGGAAATGATGCAGCTCAGTCTGCTACAACAGTGTTTTCTGTTATTTCCACCACTAGAGGGAGAGCTGGGGTTTTATACTTAACCCTAGAACACTAAAGCCGGGTGATTTTCACCCGCACGATTTTTGTGATCTGATTTTCATTGTGTTGCTGCTGTCTGAGCTGCATGGGTCCTTGGGTAGCTTCAGGCTGCTCATTGATGTCATTAATGGTATGTTTGTTTCCCACCTCCCATCTATAGTTTTTTCAAGAGGCATGCGTTCGGGTGATTTTCACCCGGCGTTAGTGATAGAGGGCAACATATTTTATGGGTAGAATTTACCCAATGTTAGTGTTTGTGTGTTGAAATCAGGCGCTCTTTGCACTTTTCAAGGGAAACAACATTCAGGCCGGCCACATCCTCTGCCCCATTTCATCCACAGCTGTCATCCTGTCACAGGCCTAGTTTCTCTGCAATCATTAGCTACACAGATTTTTTTGAAGTTGTAGCACTCAGAGAGAGGAAAAAAAAGAAATGTCCAGAAAATCAGTGAAATTCCTGACTGAGCACACTAACGTTAAAATTAGTAACACCATCACTAACGCCGGGTATATTTTACTCGATATAATATTCCGGATAAAATATAGTTTTCATCAATTTATGTAAAAGTACAACACTGTATGACAAATTGTAGGACTGGGACATGTGAGCCTTGTCTGGTGAAGGCTCAATTTGGTTCTGGTATGTTGTCTGTCTAAGGAAATTCATGTAGTCAAAAAAAATTTGGTAATTTTTCCCCTCTCAAAATTTTTTTGTCAATCTCTGCCACAGTTGTCAGTGATGCAGGAAGACTGTGCCTTCACCAGACAAGGCTCACATGTCCCAGGAACGGGTGGACCAAAGAACAAGTTCCCAGCTCCATTATTTTTTCTGTTTGGAAATTTCTCGTTAAGGATTACCTGATCTTTCAATAATTTTGCCGCCTTTTTATAGGGTC